TAGGATGATGCAAGCACCCTTCTAACACAAATTCAAAGAAACTTCTAATTATAATTATATGCTAGCTTGCTTAGAATCTTTTAATCACATCATGCTTTCTGAGTTTGCATGACCAAAAAACCTAAAGAGGTTTCTAAACCAACAAAGGCTGCAGCTGGACTGATATTATGCTATGTCTGCTGGATAAAACTGTTTATGGCAATGATGAATATAAAACAAAAAGTAAACCATCGGCATTCATTTTATTGTTGTATTATTGGGGACATTCAAGCAATAGTATTGTGAACATATAATAACTGATAGCAATATGTCTGCAAAAACATAAACGGCCAGCATGATTAACGCCAGCATTTCCAGCTGAAATCTTCACTCTTTCCATTTTCTTTTCAACAGAATGAGTACAACAAACAATTTAGGCTTCAGTTCTAAATATACTTTCCTGGAAGTAAATCCTACTGAATTTGTTGGGGCTCATTTCTGAGCTGATGAGCAGGACTGCAGTATAAATCTTACATAATGCATTGAAAAAGCTGCAGTTTCAAAAGTGCCCATTTATCTTGAATACAGACACTTTGCATGCTTGGAAGAAGTTAATTACACAGTTTGCATCTTTCCATTAGATGTGTCACTGCTTTTAATATGAGATAGTGTGCAGAAAAGATATATCCAGAAAATAATTCTCTCACTGAGGTTTTTGCTAATGCATTTCAAATGTTTGAGGTGCTCAAATGGACTTTCTGTTAAGTAATTGAATCTGAAAATAATTAAAGGATATTTAAAGCATTTTAAGGCTTTTTCAAATGTTGTGGTGCTGAGCGACATTTCCATGAAACCCACTTGTGTTAGATGGTGCTGTTGTAAAGCAAGTAATTTGAGGATTTATAACCTTTTGTATGTGTATGATTTGAGAATTTCCAAAATATATACCCTCTAAATCATGATTTTTCAAAAAATGCTATTATTTATTGCTGTAGTTATTATTTCAGATGCTATCTTGTTAAGCCATTGGTATCTACAATTTTATCCCCCCCAAAAAGAAAAAAAAACTTTGGATGACAGGAAAAAGAAAGGAAAAAAATCTGAAACTATACTTTGAAAGCAAAGAGATTCAGATCACAGATTAACCCTGTCCCAATGTCCTTCAAAACAGGGGCTCATTAACACACCTTTTAAGTACATTAACTGCCACCCCAAGGGAAAAGAGAAAGCATCCCCTTTGATTAAGGAGTCTCATGCCACAGTGGTTAAACTGCAGTACTACAGTGAAGACTCTGCTCATAACCTGAGTTTGATCCTGGGCTCAGGTAGATGGCTTGAGGATGAGTCAACCTTCCATCCTCCCCAAATCAGTAAACTGAGTACCCAGCATTGGGGAGAGAGGGCAATGTGGAGCCTGCACAATTAAATTGTAAACCACCCAGAAAGTACTTTAAGTGCTATGGGGCAGTACAAATGCAGAATACTTTAAAGAAGAAAAACCTCCGGTAATGTAGAACTCAGCAAGAGAGTCGTTCTTAGCAAGGCCTCCTTCCACCAAAGAGAGACTAATCAGACTGGACTGACCAAGATTATAGGATGGCAGAAGGTAACATGCTGCCACTCTCTCTCCTCCTTTTTGCAGGTTTTGACACAACTGGGTCTGCGTTTCATTCTGCATGTGGATGTAACATAGTTACCAGTCACTATATATTTTTTGGGTAACAAGAATTGTAACTAACCATTGCAAAATTAGTAATGTAACAAGTATCCTCTAGTTATTTTCAAAGGGTACTTTTAAAGGACATTTAAAAACTTTTTTTTCAGAGGCATTTTGACAGGACCTTTAGAAGTTTGGGGATTTCCCAGCTTTTTGAAAGGCAGGAATATGTAGAAATCAATTTTCTAAAAATAAAGTCTGTCTTTACTCAACAATTTAAGAGGATTTATGGATATATGTGCACCTTTGTTTGTGTGTGTATATATAAATCAAGCAGTCAACAGCAACACACTTTGGCCTCACATACAAAATAGGTCAGCTTCTTCTGACAAGTTCTAGCTAGACTGCTAAGCAAATTACCCCGACTCACAAAAAGAAGGAATTTCTGTTTTAGCATGTCTCCAAAAGAGACAGGACTTCTACACTCTAAGATGATAGTAATAAATTTGCCCCCTCCTCTCACGTTGGTGTGCCACTCCATTGCTAACAGTTTCCCTCTGGGAAACATAATGAACAGCAGACATGCTCCACCAAAAGTTGGTCCTACATGGTTGTGGATGCATCAGTAATACTTTGAAAAGGCCTTTTTAAAAATAAAAAAATCTTTTTCAAAACATCACTGATACAACATGTCAGCAACAATTTAAAAGAAATGGAAAACTTCCTCTCCCTTTCCTTCCCCACTGTAGTTGAGTGGAAAAGAAATTTCCTATTTCTCTAGATCATTAAGCAGGTTAGGCAAAGCACAGAAAAGGAGACAGGAGAGGAACTCCCTTCCCCCTTTAAAAGAACAGAAGATCCATCTAGATCATGCTAAACAGAGTCACCTGATGTGCAATGTGGTTGATCCTTGCATGTATATGCAGGGATCATCTCAAATGACATAGGCCAAGAAAATTGGGCCAGCTAGTCACACCTTAATGCTGGAGTATATCTGTCTCTAGTGGCTAGACCACCATGAGAGTGCTCTTTCATGATCCCCACCAGTGTGTATATGTATGACCTATCTTTAAAAGATAGATTTCAACAGTTACCACTAAAATATGAGATACAAATGTTTGCTGTTCAAGGTAAGAAATCTTGGTGATGCTTTGGTTGTTCACCTCTTTTGTGATTTTTTTGCTCAGTCCAGGCAAAGAAAGCTTTTGCTCTCATTTCTGATGCACAGTTCGCAGGTGCGATCGTTCAGATCATGCACCATTTGCCCAATCTCAGTTCAGCCATGATTTCATTGTATTACTCTAGGCAAGCCACCGTTCATACATGGGTGACCAGAAACAGCCAGTGTGTTGCAGTTAGGGTGACAGGCAAGGATGGGCAATATGTAGATTAAAATCCCTTATTCTGCCTTGAAGATCCTCTGTTAACGTCAAGCAATTTATAATCTCTTTTCCCTTAATTTAATCCAAAGATTATGAGGATAAAATACGAAGGATAAGGAGGCAGAAGGACTGTGAATGTTGTCTAGAGTCCCTTAGGTTTCTGTCGTGAATATATAAATAGTCACCATCCATACTGGTCTACCTTACAGGAATATTACAGGCATTATTGATGCAAGTTATGTAAATTGCTTTGAACACAAGAGAAGTCTAATATAAATATCAAATATTTTTATACTATAGTTTTGGGCCCCTTGGTGGGGTCAGTACAGAACCAGGACTTTGCTGTACCAACATTTTGATGAGATGCCATCACTTTTTCCTCCTCAGAGATGCACAACACATCACTGAGACCTTCTACATGGCCTTGTGAATCCTCTGTAACTAGAAGAGAACATCCCTAAGCAGGGCAGCCAGGAGGGCTAGTGATAGAGATACAGGCAGTTGTGTCTGAAGCTACAGTGTCTGAGATCAGAAGCAGCTCTCACCATCTTTCTTCTCTTATTATAGGATTGTCAGTTTTTGGCCCTTGGTAAAATCAGAGCCATCTGTACTGTTATCCGTTCAAATGAAAATTCTATAGTAATCTTGGTGCAGATACCACTGGATGGCCATCCAAACACAAACACTAGCACCCACCTGTCATCACTTTCAGGAGTATAATCTCTGTTATCCCCCAACTGTAGAGTACAAGCCAAGGATTTCCCTATTGCTGGACTTGAGTAGAGATAATTGTGCTCCAGGCCCATCAACTTTAGCAGAAAACCTTTCAGAATTAGCACAATTCTAAAGGGAACAAAAAAAAATGGTTTTCCACTCCATTTACCATATTTTTCCATGTATAAGATGATTTTTCCACTACCCATTTACCATATTTTTCCATGTATAAGATGATTTTCCCCCCTAAAATAATTACTACAAAAATTGAGTGTCGTCTTATACACAAAAGTACACTGAAGCAGGAGGTGGAGGCAAAGGAGCAGCCGTGCTCAGCCACCCCTTATGGCTGCCCATTGACTGTGGCTGCGGCTGCCCGATCGCCTCCTCCAGCGCCACTTGCGGGCTCCCTTTGGGCAGGGGACAAAGCGGTAGCATGAGCTGGAGGTGAGCCTCGGCCCGATCGCCTCCTCCAGCGCCACTTGCGAGCTCCCTTTGGGCAGGGGACAAGGCGGTAGCATGAGCTGGAGGTGAGCCTCACGAGTGGTGCTGGAAGAGGTGACTGGGCTGCCATAGCCACAGTCAATGGGCAACTGCGGGAGGGAAATGGAAAAATACTGTATCTTTCAAATTGCTGTGGAGAAAAACATGGAGAAAAATGCTCCTCTTCCCCCCCCCCCACAACACTGTCTTTCCTCAGTCTTTGTTACCAGCCTTCTCCCAACCCCAGCTGGAGTAGGCACCATTTCTCACATGATGATGATACACAAATCGAGATTTAAACACAGACTCTCAAATAAAAGAGGAATTATCACATACTTATCTTTTATTTGTGACTCAATCACTGAATCCCAAATTCTGCACCAACCGTCCCCTACTCTAACTGTAGTGAAGAATATTCAGAAAACTGTCTTCACCCAGTCTTTTGCCAAGCAGCCGATGATGAGACAGAGTGTAACCCCTGACTGGTACTTACAAGCAAAGGTCCTTCTCTCTAAGCAAGTAAATTTGTTTGTGTCTTTGAACTGAGTCTGCCATGTATAAGCTTGGGAAGTCTCTGAACATGTTTACAGGGATAATCTGACTTGTACCTCTAGTCATCCTTGACACTTTAATACTTCAATGGCTACATGATGTGTGTACATGTGCATAAAAGTGTCTCTGTGTATCTGACCGTATACATATACTGTATTAAATCGAAACACGTATGATTATACACATTTGTTGACAACTGTTAACACAGGCATCAGGAAACGGAAAATCTTTACCATTCTTTTCATCTCCTTGGAAACTTGATTGCTGCCAAGATGGTTGTAAAAGGAGCGATCCACTCCCCAGTGTGAGGGATTGTGCCCAAGAGAATTAGTACGCTGACGGTTCATCTTGGCTATTGTTGCTTTCTCATCTTTCTAGAAAAAAGGAGAGAACACAGTAGAAAAAGAGATTACATTCTAAAAGATTCTATCACCCACATTTTGCTTTAAATCCTGTTTCTTTATTCCTCCATAGATCTATTAACTCTGTTAAGTCAGAGAAATACAATACGTTCCTCCATACCATGATGCAGAGCTGAAACAGTAGCTCATTCTTCTACTCAAAAAAAATGTTGTCTACTGTCTTCCAAACAGGACACTGCAGATCATTCCTGTCTACAAACAGAAACCCTTTTTAATGGGCAAGTGGGACTATACTAGTAGCTATGGTTACCAAGTATAGTGCACCATATTTGTTTCGTGTGTTTAAAGGAGTAAGTACTTCAGGAATCTTCTTAGATCAAAAGCAGAGCTTTCCTAATTTAACACCTTATAAATATTTTATAAAGGTCACTATGTTCCATGTGTTTTCCCCCTTAAACAAAGGCAAAGATTACTCCAAAAAAACTCTAAATGACTATACAAGGCCAAATTGTCAAACCACTTATGAAAAGGAAACAAAGGATACATCTCAGCATTGTTTTGTTCACGGTCATTTGCCTTGTTGCATTTTCATGTGAAAGTTTTGTCAAGATCCAGAGTCAGGCTACTTTGTGTGCTAAAAACTGTATAGCAGACAGGTACAATATGGCCCTTTATTGGCTGGTATAGCTTTGTAGCTTCTAAATTTCGCCAGTGTAAATGGGGGAAGAGCGAATCCATAGCTAACCCTGTGTCCATAGCTAACCCTGCAGATATGCAGATCACTCTCCAAAAACTGTATAGCAGACAGGTACAATATGCCCCTTTATTGGCTGGGTATAGCTTTGTAGCTTCTAAATTTGGCCAGTGTAAATGGGGGAAGAGTGAATCCATAGCTAACCCTGTAGATATGCAGATCACTCTCTGGCTGAGCAGTGATAAGATTAACACCTTTCTTACTACCTTCGTTCTATTTTCCTTTGCTTTTCATTTCCACCAAAACTTTTTTTTCCTGCTATGTAAGCTGGAGAAAAGCTATTCAAGGCTTGCATATATCATGGCCTCTGACCTGCTTTGTACATTATGGGCAAAAGCAACGCGGAGTTCATCTTTCTAACCCCGCTAGACAGAATTGTTTTTCTAATGGCGACACTGTATTAGAGTAAACACATATGAGCTTGACTCTCTTAAACTGGTCCGAATCTCATTAAATTAAAGATATCATCACATTACGTTTATCACGCTTTATTAGGATCATGTGCATGTGGTTTCAGTAATCGTTCTGTTTGTTCTGTTGGAGGATTTTCTAGGGCACCGTTTGGAAAATAATTAACTTTTAATCCCTCAGTGTTCCAGGAGCAATTTCTATCTTAAATGCCACCACCTACTTTTATAATCCAATACAATGTAACTGCTTTTGCAGGATGACAATCCAAAATGTCTTCTAACCAAGTCCAGCAGGACAGAGTTCTCATGTAAGCTGTACAGACACCTTTGGAACATGTATGTGCATATATGTCTATGTTTTATTAGCCCATAATCAGAACTGCACGGCAAGTGCTGGTCACCAGTATCATGGAAGGTTAATTGCCAATCATGTCCATAAATGTTTGAGCAAATAACGGGTCCCCATGCATAACTTACAGGAATCCATTAAATGGCCATTTCATGGAGACCATTGGAATAGGTTCAAATTGACATTGTTCATATTAGCAGGTTCCGCTGAATTACTGACTCCAAAACTGAAGGCTCAAACAAACCTTGCTGAACACAGAGAGAAAAAGCCACACACCCTGCTGATCACAAGTGGATTCTTATTTATATGTAAGGGTAAAGCTAAAAAGGAATGTCTACTCTCCACCTTCCAAGCTCCACCATTCAGGTTCCTGTTACTTAGTTCAAACAAAGGCCAAAATTCCTATTGAGAGGAACCCTGTAGGTAAATGGGAGCCTTGAAGTGTTTTTCCCCCTGTTTCCCCAAGGAAACAGAAGAGTTTGATGAGCTGACAGTGGCTTAGGCAAATCCGCTTTTGCAAACTGCCTAATTAACACTATGCAAAAGGAACAGAGTTCTGGCCAGAATGAAGGGAGCATGCTAACTTCTCCACATAGAGAAAATGAGTCTCGAAAGCGGAGATTTTCTGCTACGTGTGGAGGTGGTCCATGTGATTAGGAAACTAGATTCTCTCGGGACCCCAGTCACACAGAGTGCCTCCACTCTGCCAGCTGAGACTGTTTTCTTTAAAGGAACATGCTCCACATGCTGACAGGAGCAGTGACGGGAAAGGAAGCTACGACAGAATCATATAACTGTAGAGTCCAAGGGCCTTTAAATCCAACCCCTGAGAAAGCACAAAATCCACAGCTGAAGCATTTTCTGACAGATGGCCGTCCACCCTCAGTCTGAATCCCCTTTGTAGAAGAGTCCAACAACTTCCGAGGCAGTCCATTTAATTACCAAGCAGCTCTTACTCTCAAGCAGTTCTTCCGAACGTTTACCCAAAAATCTCTTCTTGCAAATTCAAACACATTACTTCAAGTCCTACTTTCAGGGGCTGCAGAAAACAAACTGGCTCCAACTTTTTATGTAACATCTCTTAAAATATTCAAGGACAGCTATCACACTACCTCTCATCCTTCTCTCTTCCAGGCTAAATAAATCCAACTTCCTTAACTGTTATTCATAGGCCCCGTTTTATTAATAAAAAGTTTTCTATCCCTCCACTCCAGATTCTTAGAGTCCCTTAGGATCCCTTTGGTTCTGGGAAAGCCTTTGAGGACAGCAGGATGGGCATGTATGTCTTAAATGTCAAACTGGCAGCAGCAATTTTCAGACATTTAAGACTCCCTCCCCTCTCCTGTGCCACTTTCCTCAAAAGGTGCCTAGGAACGTCCAGGGGAGAATGGACAGTAATGTATTTCTTCAGCCATGGCTGATGACATAATCAGGCTTTTGTGGTGTGACTTTATGTTACTGGATTTGAGCCATTATTAGATAAGATATACATATGAAAACTGAGAAAGTTGAAGGGGATAAGACATGAAATTCATACATTCTAATTTTTATTTGATCTTCATATAGGGTGATTTTCCTTGCAGTTTCTAGCAGTAGAGAGAAAACCACGATATTCTACAAGTATTAAATTCTGGCCAAAGTAAGGTTTTCTGAAAACATACATTTGAGAAAACATCTTTAAGATCAGGTTGAAAAAAAAACAAGTGATTTTGCTGTAAGGAGACACATTTAAAAAGTTGGAAAATGAACAACAAAGCTTTTCAAATGCAGTAAGAAAGCTATAAAGTGATGATGCCAGTGGTGAAACATGCAACCTACTCCTTAATCCTCCTAGGAAAGAAAACCATTTAAACAAGAAGAGCTGTACGAATATACACCAGCTCATTGTAGAAGAACAGTTCTTCTCAATAAGCAGACCACTGTTGTATTCTTTGATTAGGAATACCAACCTATTAAACACTTGATTGACTCTTACCCTTTTTTGGCTGCATCGCACAATAAGAAAGGTCTCTATGCTATGCTCCTTGAGATAAGCATTCCGCTCTCCTCCAAAACCCAACTCCACTTCATAGTCACCATTCAGGTAGTTCAGTGTAGCTTTTGTTATGTGTATTCGCCTTGAAGGGAGACAAAAGACAACCAATCCATTGATTAGTTAATGAAATCAAATATGAAACAAGCAGTTTGAAACAGAGAAATATTTTTTAAAATAGATGGTTGGAATGACCTGAGATGATAGCCTGCAACTACATTCTTCTCATAAAATCCTTCTAGAGCAGAGGATAATAACTTTGGATGCTGGAAATTCTAAAGAAAACATTAGAGCCAGTTGTATTAGCAAGTACTCCTTGGATGTAAAAACCAAGAGCTAAACCTCACCTATTCAGACTCGGTCCCAGTTAAAATAAATCCAGTAAATCAACGGGATTTATGTAGGTGTTCATTTAACAAGTCCCAATCATTTTGTGGGGTGTAATCCAATCGGGACTGGATTCAGCTCACAGAAGTTTCGTCTAATGCAACAAACAGCAGGCTAAATCCATTCATTAATCCCAAATAGAGTATACCCATTAATTAGATATAGCCTACCTTGCATAATCACCAGTCATGCCAAAAAAGGTAGGAACCCCTAGTCATCTGAAATTATCACATGATGTCCTGCTGATTTTCCAGCTAAGAAATGAAATCTGTGATTGCTGGAAAAAACCTTCTTGGCTGAACTCTGGTATTATTTCCAAGGCAGCCTATCTTTACTTGGCTTCTCAAAAAGGTAGCAAAGTTTGGGATTTCTATGGGGCAGTAATAGTTGTTCCTGTAGGATGATGTGTGCGCGCGTTTTTTATTTTGAGCCATTTTTTACTGTTTATTGTTCATGTGTATATATACCTGTAGAAACAAAAAAGGGGATAAATGCCAAATATCAGGCAAACTATTGTGATATTGATTTGGCCAGATAGCTTACTAGTTAAAGTATCTTGCTTCAGAGCCAGAGATTGGGAATTCCATTTCTCACTGCACCTCTGGGGAGAAGAGCCAGCCTATGTAGCCATGGGGAAGCTGCACAGTTCCAAGATTCTCTCAGAAGAAGGTAATAGTAAATCACTTTTGAGTCCTCACTACTTCAGAAACCCTGGAAAGTGTCACTCTAAATCAGAATCGTCTTGAAGGCACACAATTATTTTTATTTGTAATCTTAACATGATTTATAGAGCTAAGCTGAGAGGGTGTACGGCATGAATCTTTTTCAGACATACTTTTTCAGACCACTTTTGGTGATATTTCAGTTGTTCAGCTGGTATTTGTTCAGATTCATTCACGGGGTATGAATCACAGAACTGGCTCTGTAGCATCACTGTAACACTTAATCTGATGATGACATGATGCCTCACAGGTTGGAATCCTTTTACAACAACGCAGAGGGTATGGTATGAAACAAGCTGCTGTGAAGAGGTTTAGGTTTCATAGACCGTTCCCAATATAGGAAATCACGGGAGCTGTTGGAAAGTCACCTCTGCAGGATTTTCACTGTTCCTGATTAGGGAATGGTTGTGGAAATGGGAACAATGTAGTATAGAATCTCTGTGCAACTTGTCAAATCACTCCCATGCATGGATTACACAACCTATTTGCAGTCTAATATTCCCCTCTCATCAGAAACCTTACCAGATTCAGAGACTGAACTACTCATGTGACAGCAGTAAAAAAGGCCAATTCCATGCTAGGTATCAGTAAAAAGGGGGCTAAAAATAAAACAGCCAACATTATAATGTAATTGTACAAAATGCTAATAAGGCCGCACCTGGAGGATTGCATACAGTTTTGATCGCCGCACGTAATAAAACCATAGTGGAACTGGAAAAGGTGCAGAACAGAGTGACTAAAATTATGACTGGGCTGGGGCACCTCCCTTATGAGGAAAGGCTACAGTGTTTCGGGCACTTTAGTCTAGAGAAAAAGTGCCTGAGGGGGGACATGATTGAGACGTATAAAATTTTGCAGGGGATGGATAAATTGGACAGAGGGAAACTCTTTTCTCTCTCACACAATGCCAGAATCAGGGGACATCCACTTCAATTGAGTGTTGGGAGAGTGAGAAGAGACAAAAAAAATTCTTTACCCAACGCGTGGTTAGTCTGTGGAATTCCTTGCCACAGGATGTGGTGATGGCATCTGACCTAGAAGGCCAAAAAGGAGATTGGACAGATTTCCGGAGGAAAAGTCCATTGCAGCCATGATGTGGATGTATAATCTCCAGGCTTAGAAGGAAAGTACCTTCAAATGCCAGATGCAGAGGAGGGGTATCAGGACACAAGTATCTAGTTGTTTCCTGTGCTCCCAGAGGCATCTGGTGGGGCCACTGTGAGATACATGAAGTTGGACTAGATGGGCTCTTGGCCTGATCCAGCAGGGCTCTTCTTATGTTCACCCTAGGACACCCACAGCCCAGATTACATTCATCAGTCAAGACTGCAAGCTGGCTCTGACTTTCAAAATTCAATTTCCTATTAAAATAAGTGGATTGGGATCACACACTGTGCTTTAAAGGTGAAACATCCTTCCTGGGAGCATAATAATTTTTATCACACATGGGAATATCTCCAGAGGCCACAAAACCAGAAGGGGTCTAGAGGTCACCCACTGGCAGCTTGCTGTTAACAAGGACAGATCATAAGAAGGGAAAAAATAGGTCCTTTGTGTTGGCTGTTAATAATTATTTTTAAAAGTGTTTTTTTAATTGATGTTTCTAGGAAGAGGGGAGATCTGGTGGATGTGCTATATAATCTTCTCTCTTTCTTTCTATCTTTTAATTTATTTATTTGAATTTTATACCGCACATCTGGCTGCCAAGACCACTCTGGGTGGTTTTCTTCTTTTTACCTGGCACAGGAAGCAGCTTTATGTGTCATATAGGCCAAACAGTCTAGTAACAATTTCTGTAATTAGGAATATCCCTAAAGGGCAGACTTATCGACCTGAGAATGTAGAGAAGTATCCAAATAAAACCGAAAGCAAATGGAAAGATGGAGTCTCCAAGAACAGAACCCTCTTACCCTGCTTTGCCGCCTGCTTCCATGTGATTGGCTAATGTGACATCATTTGACCAGACATCGAACTGCCATTTCCTGAGGCCCAAGACCCCACAGTGAACTCTCCCACTGTGGATCCCAACTCGCATATTCACGTTGACTCCTGTCACCTCTCGCACTAATCTGAGGAAAGGAAGGAAAACACTGAAGATGGTGCAGAACTGAACCCAAAATACCTGAGCCTTCTTCAGTTGTACTTTAAGGGATGTGGACCCCATGCATGATGAGGGGAGTATGCTAGCCCCCCAGTGTCATTTTAATCATGAAGGACGGAGGCTGCTGTACATGAGCAATCTCCCCACATGCAGCAACTCTCCCGAAAGTGGGGTTCTAGCTCACATGGAGAGGCAACCAAGTAACAGCAGCTCTCTTCAGATGTGTTACCTCAATGTACATGGGTTCTGCACAATTGAAAGCATGACTGAATAGGGCTTTAGATATTCCTAGTTATGATATAAACAGACAAATACAGTGGTGCTTAAACTTTACATGTTAGCTATGCAAGCAATAAAAGCATTGGCTGGAGCTGTCCTCAAGTGAAGTCAATTTGCTTTCAGTTCAGAGCTCATGGTGGTGGTGATGGAATTTAGGACAGGGCATAAAGGAAGCAAAGCTAAACAAAATTTGCCACTTCTCATTAAATGTAATAGCTATGATGCAAAGAGAAAAAAGGAAATTATTTCAGAACTCTCAATTGGTCTGCATAAGATCAGGCATCAAATGTTCCACTGATGAAACATAATACATATGTGAAACAGTCAGTGCAGCAGGAAATCTTGAGCTGCTGTTGAAGCAGACCAGACAGCTCTGTCTTCTCTTGTTATACACTACAAGCTGCAACGTTAACAAGTACTCTGATGTCCAAAACTTGTCACTGGAATCCTTTGTGGGATTTTGCCTTTTAGGGCAAAAGTTTACTTGGAAGAACACAGTAATTCACACAGAAATTATATCTAGGGATTAAAGAGGAAGCCACCAAGACGACTCTTGACCTTGAAAGACCTCATATGCTTGGTCACAATTGCTGTCATTGGTTATATTATGGCTGCTGTGGTCAGCAACTGCAGTTCTCTCACTTCCGGGATGACCGCCTTGCATCGAGACCAATGGTTCTCTTCACTGGAGTAAGCAGATGTCATTAACTAGTTATTTTAATGAACCAATGGTGGGAATTTTGTCAACAAAAACAGCACCCTCCACCCTTTCTCCCTTGTCCCGCCCCCTTGGGTAAAGAACTCAGCTTCAATCTCTGAAAAAACACACAGGCACAAGAAGTTGATTTGCCTGTTCTCGTTAAGCAGGAGATGTGTACTTCCTGGCAGTCTAGAGCTAGTTCTGCTCAAAAGTTATAGACTTACTCAGGCATTGTGCTTGAGCCTGTGAACAAAATGAATGTTAGAGATTAATGATGTAATGAATAATCACAAATATTCATATTCTCAAAGAAAAATGAAAAGCAGTGTCTCAACACACCCTGTCAGAAATATGGTCAACCTCTGCAAATAAATGGTGTTCCTGCCCTGGGGGGAGGAGTGGTTTTTGTGCAAGGAGAAAATCATTAAGTCTTTGTAGAAAATGCAATTGTTTTGCACATGAAGACACTTTGAATTTTTTGTCGAGTCCCTAAACTTTGGTCCCAAAATGTGAATAAAAACTGTCACAATTTAATTCAATAGAAGAAAAAACTTTCTTCATCTGTGAAAACAAAATAAAAAAATATTTACATCTCCAGATGGCAGAGAGCATACCTAAGTCCCTTCTTCCACATCCAGGAATCATCCAGGACTTTGCACATTCAGCATGAAAGACAACTAACTGCAAATTTGGCTAAAAGGGATTCACAATGCTCCTGTCAGCCATGCTTATTAGGCTCTTGATCATACAGTCCTGTACGTGTATTCTCTTTGATTTGCTCACAAGCTTCTCTCCAAAAGCTTCATGGTGACTACATGAAGGTCTGAGTAAATTCAAGGTGGGAGGAATGAATTGAGAAGCAACTCATTCGAACCTTAACTTGGACTCTGACTCACAAAATGTCTCAAAACAGCCCCCTATTCTCTCAGCTTCAGCAACTTGCCTCTGCACCACATAGCATGAAGATGACCATACTTATGACCTGTGAGTAGAACTGACACAAAAATAACTGATACAGTGGTCCATGTATGAGTCTTAGCACCAGAAATGCTCTCTGTACAGATATTAAAAGAAAACTACATGTGACATCTGAAAAATTGAGATCTGTTTTTCTGTGTTCTATTTCTAGTTTTTAGAAAATCAAATGCAATTCACAATGAGACTATTCTGAACCATCCTAGTCCAGAGGAAGACTGTTTATTTCTTAATTTAAAATACGGTATGTTTACCCCGCCTTTCTCCTTGAAAACATCCTAGTCCAGAGGAAGACTGTTTATTTATTAAATCCAAGGCAGTTTACAACATTAAAAGGACAGTATTTAAAAGTTAAGAACAGTAAATATACAAATATTTAGAAGAGTTAAATACTGCATTAAAATGGTAAATAAAACCAATACTAAAAACACATTTAAAAGCAACAAAACATTACTATCCAATTTGAAAAAACCCTCTCAGACTGTCAGTCACCAAGGAAAAGCCTGTCTGAAGAGAAAGGTCTTTGTCGGCTTGCAGGAAGACAGCAAAGATGAGGCCACTGTGGCTTACCGTGGGAGGGCATTCGAGAGTCTGCGAGCGGCAACAAGGGACCTCTCCCGTGTCCCCACTAGAGCACTTGTGAGGGTAGTAAGACTGAGAGAAAGGCCTCCACTGATTATCTTAATGTATAGGCAGGCTCACAGAGGGAGTTGCACTCTTTTAGATAGCTTGGACCCAAGCCATGTAGGGCTTTATAGGCTATTCAGAAAGACACCGTGGAATGGATTTTAACCCTTTCTCCTCTGTACTATTTCCCTGATCTGAATTTTTTTTCCCTGCTCCCGGTTACCATTTGTTCAGGGGGCTGATGTCAATGAGCAGTTCAGGGAGACCAGAAGGTGTGTGTACCTTCCAGGCAATCAGCCTCTAGTGAAGTCGGCTCTTACTGACTACTGTACTACTATAAACTCAGCCTTCCAATTCAGCTCTCTGGGCTCCCTCAAATGCACGTATCTCTTTCCTTGTGGCACCACTGATGGTGGTTTCCCAACTTTATATGATTTTTTCCAATTTCAAAAGGTTGTTCAGCCTCTTCTAAGACATACAGTCATGTGAAAAAGAAAGTACACCCTCTTTGAATTCTATGGTTTTATGTATCAGGCCATAACAAAAACCATCTGATCCTTAGCAGGACTAAAAATTAGGTAAATACAACCTCAGATGGACAACACCTGACATATTATACTATGTTATAATTTATTTTACAGAAATAAAGCCAAAAATGGAGAAGCCTACGGCCTGAGAGACTGGAAGATCTTAAAAAGCAGATGGAGTATGGTGTCATCAGCACACTGACGGTAGCAGACCACAAAATTCTGGACAGCTTGCTTTAGGTTTTTCATGTACAGTTGCACCCCGCTTAATGATTACCCGCATTACGACGAATCTGCTTCACGACGATGTTTTTGCGATCACAATTGTGATCGCAAAACAATGTTTTAAATGGGTTTTTTCGCTTTGCGAAGATCGGTTCCCTGCTTCGGGAACCGATTCTTTGCATTATGCTGATCAAAACAGCTGATCGTCGGGGTTTCAAAATGTCCACCGGGTGCTCAAAATGGCTCCCCCCTGTGCTTAGGGATGGATTCCTCGCTATCCAGGCACTGAAAATGGCCGCCATATGGAGGAGCTTCGCTGGACAGTAAGTTTTTAGCCCATTGGAACATATTAACCAGGTTTTAATGTGTTTCAATGGGTTTTTTATTTTCGCTTTATGATGTTTTCGCTCTACAGCGATTTTGCTGGAACAAATTAATGTCGTTAAGTGAGGCACCACTGTATGTGTGAAATAGTATGAGAAACTCCACCAGGCTAATGATCAAGGTGTTGAACAGGAGTGCCTCAGCACCACTGCCATTCACAAAGTGACAGCACACAAGAGAAAAATCCCAGAAGCTGACTCCTTTTTTTCATCAGTTAACCATTTCTCACCCAAACACAAAGCAATTATCAGGGCTGTTTTTCAACAAGTGTGAATGGTAGTGAGCAGAAGAAGGTATCTTGTAGACCAGGGGTCCCCAACCCCCGGTCTGTGGCCTGGGCTGGGCTGCAGAGGCAGATCTCCCACCCCCAGCCCTGCATGCACTCCCCCACACTCATGTAACAGCCCCGACCCCTTCACACATGCACGTGAGTGTCCCCCGAGCGCCCCTTGCCTTTTGCGCATGCACCCGAGCATGGTGTGTGTGTGTGCCCTGCCTTCCCCAACCAGCCTGTGGTGTTAAAAAAGTTGGAGACTGCTGCTGCAGACAATCCTGACTGCTGCCATTTCTGTTGTCAACATTCAGGCTGCCCTTTGCTATGTAAAGTGTGCCACTTTTTCCTGCTGGCTACAGAAGCACCATATCCCATGCTCATAAACTGGAGGTTTTTTTTTAAAGAACTGAATCTCTCAATGCTGCTTGCAGCAACATGAAATCTCTCCCCCCCCCACACACACACACAAAATGTTGCCCTTGGAATGTGAGTGTCCAAGCCTCTTTGGTCATATCTGGAAATTAGTTGCTTTTTTTAAAAAAGCATTTGACCTCCCTGAACCCCTCATTTTTTAAATTTCAACATGAATTCAGACAGATAGATGTATATTATTGCAGCAATGCCCAGAATCACTTCATTTTTTTACATTTATGCTTCCCCTTCCCCTCAGTAAGCTTATAGAAAATCATAAACTGGAGGGTTTTTTTTTTTAAAGAATTGAATCTCTCAATGCTGCTTGCATACATGATTCTTTGCACTTTACTCTCACAACAAAAAATATATGAGATAGTTCAGGTTGAGTGAGAGTGACAAGACTGCCTCTGGGAAACCCTGTGACTCCAACGGTTGTTGATATGTGCCATCAGGTTTTAGGTAGCTTATAGAGACCCTAATGGAGGGTTTTTTTTTTTAAAGAATTGAATCTCTCAATGCTGCTTGCATACATGATTCTTTGCACTTTACTCTCACAACAAAAA